TAATCTAGATTTTGCTGCTAGGTTTTTATGCTTGGCTAGTCTGACTGCCCCTGTTCTGCTACTTTGATCTATGTATTTGATCTGACAATCAATGCAGGCAGGGTATTAGATAAACTAAATTTATTTGTTTTAAAGGGTCCACAAGATCCTGTAACCGACTAAGCATTCAAACCCACAAACTACCCCTGCAACGACAAATAGGAGAGAACAAAGAAAACTATAAAACTCAAGTCGTGTGATTATAATTGATGAAATGATTATGAACAATAATGAATTGTGTTCGAAACTGTGTCATCCAGTAAATAACACTGTTTCTGTGACTGTGTGATACATCTCATAAACAAACTAATGTGGAATAACTTCTTTTTACATTCTTGAATACTTCCCGTATGTCTATGTTTGCTATACGCTGTTAGGTATAGTATTCAATGTTTCACTGAGTCCTGCTGATGTCCAGTATTTCATGAAAGTTCACTTCCGTTTTAGGATCATAAGCTGCGGCGTGAAAAATTTTACAATTATCTGAGTCATAAAATATACCCATTTATACGTATGGAATAAATACAGCGTTTTGTTCAGCGAATAAAAACTATTTCATCTCAACGACTTCATGTTTAAACAGCCGTACAGTTGTATTTACATTAGGGGAAAAGGCATTAAGTGGTACTAAAAAACTGCTCAGACACTAATGTTACCATTATTGTATAAATTTTAAAATCTTATTACTATTTCACTTATACAAAAGTTTTTTTTAAATCCTCTAGTTCATTCACTTCAGCTCTACCCTCTTAATTATCTTCATTTGTTATCGTATGTATACTGGCTGAGTAGTGTTGTTCAGTGCCACTTAATGTCCTTCTCCCTAATAGTAATACTACTGTACAGCTGCTTGAAAATGAAGTTATTGAAAAGAAACTTTTTCTTCCACTGAACAAAACATAATCCCATTTCGAGATAGTCCCTTTAAATAACTACTTATGCGTAGATATATTCTAATGGGAAAACATTTTACTTTTCAATTATGCTGCTAAAGTAATATTTAGAAAATCAAAACAAATGATTCAGCGAAGAGGCTCTTTGCAACGAATTTATTATCAAGCTAAGCAATCGTATATACATATATGGTATTTAAGAAATTACATCCGGTGAGGGAATTGAATCATGGGTGTGAATACATAAAATAATAATAATAGTATGAAATGCAGTCAAATGTTTGTGATCACTCTATCTCTACAACCACTGAATTTAAAGTCATCTACAAGACGAAGGGCAATTTGTCCAAATCACTACGTATCTAACTCATCTGTGTTGCTGAAGCTTAGGAGATCGAAGCAGAGAAGCCAAATCTCTGTATACAGAAAACGTTTGTTTAACCCCTCTATACTAAAGTATGGTAATCCCTAATCATATTTTGGCTCTACTTATTTTTCGTTTTGTCTACTCAATTTGTATACTCTTCGTTTGTTACGTCAAATTTTACTATCACTATTCTCACCTTGAATTGCCCCCGATATTATTTCACACGTTCCACTTGTCATTCTAAATCAATTCTGTTTGGCAACGTTAAATTCTATGTTATCAAATTTCACGTAATGTTACATAACGCTTTTATTTTTATTCAACTTGCCTACTAATCTTATAACTGCACACCCTTCAAGTTCTCTCCACCCTATGAATTATCATATATATTGTTTTACCACTTGACATTTAACTGTGATTATAGTCACAAACATATTAATTGCATTTCATAATACTACCATTATTATTTTACGTATTCACACTCATGATTCGATTCCCTCACCAGATATAATTTCTTAAAAACCATATATATATGGCTGTACAGCTCGATAATCAATTCGTTGAAACGAGTCTCTTCGCTGAATCACTTGTTTTGATTTTCTGTATGTCCTAATGTGGATTTTTCATGAATTTAAGTGATTTTTCTAGACATCTTTGAATATATTATGATCAGTTCCCCTTTCATGATTGGTAAAACCTGCCTAATTAGATTATGTGGATATATTCGTTCGTAAAATGTTAACCTTTATATTAACTCATTGTAACTTGGCTTAATGACTACATTTAAAATGCACTCGAATTAAGGATTTTGCATCCTATTGTGTTTTATTTCGCTGGGAAGTGGTTCGGTTTACCATTTACATTCGGAGCTTTATTTGCATAGATTGATTGATGTGGTTGTGTTCTCTGAGCCAACATCTTCAGCGCATACTTTAATTCGAAGTGAGCTTTTAGATTTCTGCACGAGTTTATCAGTCATCTCTTCTGGTGACCTTGAACGTGATTGGTTGTTTTTGTGTTTTCGCACTCTCTAGGCTAATTGTATTTGTGTTGGTGTTGATTGTTTCCTTGACTTAAACTATGACCCTTTGTGTATGAGGTTTCCTTCTTATCGTGGAGAAATCTCAAAGCTCACTCTAACGAATTAAAGTATGCGCTGAAGATGTTGCCTAGTAGGGCAATGAAAGCTTCACAAATTAACTATCCAGCTCAGAGAACACAACCACATCGAAATCATCCACCTGAGCTACAAATCTTCTCCATCATATCTAAATTGGTAGTTTCTGTTCTGACTTCGTCCATATCCTACTGTATTGATGTGTTTACTATCGCTCACCTACAATACAGAGTACTGTAGAATGTTTTACAGTGGGCTCTGAAACCGTAGTTACCATGGATTGGACATCTTATAAGCAGAAGAAAGTGAAAATCATTGACGCTTTCCTTCAGCAAAAGTTTTATAAACCCAGTAAATATAACTTGAAAAATCATATCATCTTTGCCCTAATAAAGGTGACTACACCTACATAAAGACACCTCAATTTTTATTGACATCATTTATTATCATTTCCCAATATTATTGTCCCTATGGGCTCCGAGTGAAACATAAGGCTTAAACACTAGCAACTAGTGCGATGTGTTTAGTCTTTTCTTTGGTGCAGACTGAATTCTATCAGTCAGGTTTGCAATGTGGCCATCATGCCACTAGGTGGCTCGCCATCACGGTGCACATTGATTTGATGATATTAGATAGTTGGAGGCGATCGACAGGAAGCCTTGGATGTACCTAGGTTTCGTGCTAGTTGGCACTCGTCAACAAGGCGTATCTGCAACCTTGAAGGAACTCATATCCCTTCTGAGATTCGAACCCGCGTCACCCAGTGCTGCAGTCAGAGCCGTTACCACTGTCCTACAGTCCTACAGGAGGTCAATCGCGAGCCCGAATAGCTCAGTGATAACGTCTCTGACTGTAGCATTGGGTGACGCGGGATTGAATCTCAGAGGGGTGGGTATGAGTTCCTTCAAGGTTGCAGATACGCCTTGCTGACTGGTGAGTGCCAACTAGCACGAAACCTAGGTACAGTCAAGGCTCTCTGTGGCCGATTACCTCCAACCATCTAATATCATCAAATCTACACTTTGTTCTGCTCTCTGAGGTCCCCTTAAGCTGGCCCCGCGATTGCCTATAAGCTTTTATCTCCTCCTTACACGATCTGCTGCATGTGAACCTTGGATGCACGCCTGACTCGTCGTTTCCCATTTTGTTTCCACTTGAGAAACGGCCTGTCGTACGATGTAATTCGAAGGTCTCCTCAGTGTTTACCCCATACATCTCCATTTTCTTCGTTATATTTTTTGAGCAATAGGTTCTGGGAAGCTGTTGAAGACAGTCTGCAGTAGTCTGTTGGGAATGGCTTTCTGACCCATATGAAAAAATCCCTGAATTAAAATTTGTGCTGAAAACCCAAATCTTGTTCTTTGTGCTAAGTGCGGATGATTTCTGAACTTATTTCCGAGTGATAAGTGTCTGACTTGCCTTTCTGATTCTGGTTTCGACATCTTCAACTGTGCCTCGGCCTGTAATTGGAATGATGCTTCCTAGATAAGTGAAGGAAGTAGCCTCTTTCAAATGTCTTCCGTTGATAGTGATTGGTGCTGGTTGTTGTTGTTTTGTCGATTGGTTGGTTATCTTCATCACCTCCGTCTTCCCTATGTTGCCTAATGATACCATTCAGTCGCTCATTTCCAACGTATTCACAGCAGCAGTAGTACATAAATCATCAGCTTACTGTTTGAAATAATCAATGAAATGATAAACTTTTAAAACAATTAGTTCCCTTTATGAATTTAGACAAATCAATAAGAAGACCGTAATTTGTCTGAATCGTGTAATGTATTTGTGCACAACACATTTCGAACTATCTGATCACACACGGGGATATATATGAAATTAATAAAGAGTTAAGAGGTGAGAAAATAGACCACTTAGGTCAAGTTAAAAGGACATATTGAAGGTCAAAATAACAATGAAGACCACTAAACCAAATAACAGAGGTAATAGTACATCTACCATGGCTGGTATCAAAACAAAGTTTACCAAGGAAGGTTTAGTGTGATGATGAATTGTTGCTTTGAACGCATAAAGATGGTTTAAACTTCCTAATTGCCAGCTAGGGCTTCCACAGACTTTAGGATACGCCCCAAACACGTTTTATAGATAGGTTTAAAAGGTGTGTTAACGTCAGTTTTATGTCCTGTCTCTATAATATGTTTCACAATAGAGGAGCTAGGTCTCCTGTTCTCACCATTATTGGGTTCTGGGGATTCTACTTTCTTCTGGAGCCATTTAGGAATATGCTGTGAAGCCAGCGCCTACTTGCAGAGATCGATGAGTCCTCCTCATATGTGTGTGTTTCCACACGTACATTCAAATTGGTAAATACAGTGGGATGTGACATCATTTTTCGTATGTTCAAAGGGCTTAGATAGATATATTGGCTTCAAATTCTCAATTATTATGATATAAGCAGCGTCCGATCTTTGTCTAGTTATCAAGCTGCTATGATGCCCCCTCCCACATAGGGTAGCTTGATGTACACGTCTTTCTTAGGGGTGAAACATTGATTCCATTGACTTTTATATCAGCAATTTACCATGCATTTTGTCTTCTTTTCTTCCCCCCCCCTGCGTTTATTGAACAGGTATTCTGTCAACATTCATTGCATCGATTGTAGTGAGTAAATTTGGTTTGGAATTAAAAAGTGGTTGGAGAGTTGCACTATGCCTAGCAGCATGCAGTCAATTCGGTGCAATGATCACCTATTTAATATTTGGTTCAAGTGAACAACAACCATGGGCTTATTCAACGCCAACAGACAATGCTGATAATGATTATCATACGAGATCTGATGATGATGATGAAATGGATAATTCACTAGATTAACTAGATTGATTAACAACTCATCAGTGAAATGATACAAGCATGTGTTTTAATTAGCATCGGGAGGGTTTTCTGAAATAACCTTTGTTAATTTCTCCTTTCCCTTTTCCCATTTTGTTGAAAGATCCAATCACTTACGTGTATATTTTCCTGTTGTTTTACAAATGTATATTTTTTTATTATTAAAAAAATTAAAATGACAGCTTCAGTGTATATTAGTTTTCCCGACCCCCCCCCCCCGCTATTATCTCGATATACTGACATATGCTAAAAACCAAACACTTACATTAATTGTGATTTAATTGACAAAATCATTCCTGAGAATTTGTAGACACGATCAATTAACCTTTTTTTAAAAAAAAACTAATAGTTGTTTTTGTTTCATACACATGAATTTGATATTGATAAAGAGTGACAAGTAATAATAAAGATTATAATCCTAAAAATTTGTAACTGTAGTTATTTTTGCTATCAGTCGATCCGCAGTTAGTTGTAACAGTAGATGGCAAGACAGAGAAGCCAATGTACATTTTCTAAGCGCTATATACATATATATATACATATATAAATATATATTGAGAGCTGTCTGCTAGCTAAAATTGGTAGACAGCAATTTAAGTCAGTGTTTACGTCCCAAATCGGCGTCATGAGAGAAAACAAGAACAAAGCCTAACCTTGGGAGCTCAACAACCAATCACAGCAGACTTAGCGTGGGTGGATACGATTCGCAGATATATCACCGGGCTGTCTAAGAAACGGCCACAAAGAGATAACAGAATAACCTTGAGCAAGAAAACAACCAATCAGAAGACTTTGCTTCTCTGCTGACAATAACGAATAATAATGTACATAAAAATTATAAATATCTTTTGATTTTCTCAATAAACGACTTGTTGCATGGCCCTTGTCTACTATTGTTACATATATATATATATATAATTAGGCGTGTTTCTCGTCAGATTTCCGAACATCACCCTGTGTGTTTGGTTAAGTAAAAGACAAACAAAATCTATTCGCAGAGTGCAATTCTATCTCATCTTGTGGATACAGAACACAAGATTGAT